AAACAAAAACCTACTCAAAATAGTCCAGAGACTGTAATTTGAAATGCGAAACTATAAAAAATTTAAAAGAAACTCTATGTGACGATGAGTTTGGTGTTGAGTTTTAACACACAACATTAAACGCCAATTCATGAAAATATTGATAACAGGCTTTATAAACTAAGTATTCTACTGTGAAAAACTGTATTCAGAGAACAAAAAGACAAGACAGACGTGAGAAGATATTTACAAAATACATATGTGATTTTAAAACTGGGTAAACATCTGAACAGATACTCAACCACAGCAAATATGCCGATAGTAGGCTGGGCATGGTGGATGCCCATCTCTACTAAAAACACAAAAATTACCCAGGCGTGGTGGCGCATGCCTGTAATCCCAGCTACTCGGGAGGCTGAGGCAGGAGAATTGCTTGAATCTGGAGGGCGGAGGTTGCAGTGAGCCGAGGTTGTGCCACTGCACTTCAGCCTGGGCAAGAAGAGAGGAACCCTATCTCAAAACAAATAAAGAACAACAACAAAACAGGCTAACAAAATGCTGTGGCAGGGTATGACTTGAGAAGTCATTTCTGAGACAGGGGATGGGACCTGGGAGCTATCCACCTCCTGAAAATATGCGGCAGGAGACAGAAGAACTAAAATTCTCCACACAACAGGACATCGTGCCTCTCGCTGTTGAGGAGACTGGGGGTGGATGATCAGGCTTGGGGCTAAGAAGCCTCTGGGAAAAGGCCCAGACCGCACTGCTGAGCCAGCCCAGGGGCTCACACGACCCCAAATCCCCACCCCCAATGCTGTCCAGAATGCCACACGCCACACCACTGCCAGGTCAGGCTGAGGAAACGCTGCCTTCTCGCATCGTGTTGTAGCAACTAATGTAAAAAATGTAAATAATGTTATCGAAATTAGGATTTTATGTTGTTTCAATTTAACAGAAATTCAGTTGAGAAATAAATAGCCAGGTGTGGTGGCTCACACCTGTAATCCCAGAGCTTTGGAAGGCTGAGTGGGGTGGATCACCTGAGGTCAGGAGCTCGAGACCAGCATGGCGAACATGGTGAAATCGCATCTCTACTAAAAATACAAAAATTAGCTGGGCATGGTGGAGGGTGTCTGTAATCCCAGTTACTTGGGAGGCTGAGGCAGGAGAATCGCTTGAACCCAGGAGGTGGATGTTACAGTGAGCCAAGATCACACCACCACACTCTAGGCTGGGCAACAGGTCAACACTCTTCAAAAAAGGAAAAAAAAAGGAGAAAAAGAAGAAATATTGTCTCACTAAAAGTAAAGGTAATGACATTTTGAACTTAAGAAAACTTTCTCAGGCACAGTTTTCCTTTTTTGACTTAAAATTTTTCAAAATGCAGTCCAGAGAGTGGCATCATGATGCCCACATACACAAAACAGATTTAACAGTTACTAACATGTTGTCATGTCTGCTTCATGTTTTTATAATATGAAATATTGCAATTTTCAGTTCTCACAAAATTTCACTTCTAAATACTTCAGTATGCACCTATAAAAAAAAGTAAGCATGAAAGTGAGGTGTGGTGGAGGGCGCTGTCATCCCAGCTACTCAGGAGGCTGAGGCAGGAGCATCACTTGAGCCTGGGAGGTCGAGGCTGCAGTGAGCAGTAACTGCACCACTGCACTCCAGCCTGGGTGACAGAATGAGACCCTGTGTCTAAAAAACAAAGTATGTATGGTTGCCTACAAAACCAGAAAACCATATGGTAGCTCGCACGTTCAAAAAAACCCTGCATATCATCAAATACTCAGGAGGAGTTTTCTTTTTTTCTTTTTTTTTTTTTTTTTTTAAACCTAGTCTTTCTCGGAGAGCAGTGGCACAATCTCAGCTCGCTACAACCTCTGCCTCCTGGGTTTGAGCGATTCTCCTGCCTCAGCCTCGCAAATAGCTGGGATTATAGGCGTCCAACACCATGCCAGGTTAAGTTTTGCATTTTTAGTAGAGACAGGGTTTCATCACGTTGGCCAGGATGGTCTCAATCTCCTGACCCTGTGATCCAACCGCCTCGGCCTCCCAGTGTGCTTGGATTACAGGTGTGAGTCACTGTGCCCGGCCAGGAGGAGGTCTTCAAAAACCAATTAACCTCAGAAAGTGGGAGAAATGCCAGGCCCCGAGGACACAGCCATGGGAAATGATATTTACATGGCTAAGAATCTCAGTTTCCTGTGAGAAACAACAGAAAAACAATATCCTCCTTGTACAACGAGAGAAAATACTGTTTTTTTCCATGAAACCATAAGGGTGCGGGCAGTGTAAACCCAAAATTATGCATGAGGGCTTCCCCAGAGCTCCGTGTGGGTGGAGAAATGTGTCCTAACTGCTGCCCTGCCTGCTCTCTTGGTACTGGAAACCTGTGAGAATTTCCGAACCTGACACACTGCGTCCCGGCTTTTCTCAACAGATGCAAAGCAGTGCATGTGTAGCCCAGCTGGGCAGCACCCAAACGGTGAGACAGGCCACCGGCTCCCAAAGCTGGGCCCTCCTGGCTCCTGAGGACCCTCTGGGGATGGCTCTGGTCAGTACGGCCCTTTCTTTCTCTCCGCTCTCACAGCTGTGGGGTGCACATGCTCTTTCTGAAGCACTGAGACTCCCCCAGCTGAGGCCAGCAGCCAGACTCAGCCACGTCCTCTCCCTCACTCCAAACTTCCTCCACTCCTCAGTCTTCACTGCTCGTCCCAACAAGGCCACCTGCCCCCAGCAGACCACACCGGAGTCCTGTGCACTGCAGCTGCTCCCACAGACTCATGCTCAACCCTCTCTGTGGTCCTGGCTTTCAAGGCCATTGCGCCTGGGAGGAGACGGAGGTGTCGGCTGCTGTCAGGGTGCCTGGGTCATTCCCATTTGCTCCTGATGCAGTGACTCTGCCCGTGAGATCTGGCTGGGAACCTCTCTCCCACCTACTGCCAGAGACTCACATTCTGAGCCCAGACACAGCCTCCTTAGCTGCTATCATTTCAGGGAAACCAGCCCCTGAATTACCCATTTCAGAAGTGTGGCCCCCAGGTGCACGGGGTGGACATGAAGAGAGGGGAGGGGTGTGCTGACCCATCAGACCCTAGACCCCAGCGCCATGCAGGGAGAAACACAAGGGGCGGGCTTGGCTGCTGCCCTCCACTGTCACAGCGGGTGAGGCGGCCTGATGCCTGAGCTCCGTGGAGCCCTCTGACGGGGGAACACCGTCCCCAGAACGGCCGTAAGGAACAGAGGCACTGAAACCACTCATCAAACCAATACCCTATTTTACTAAAAACCACATGTACATTACATTTTACAAAACAGTCCCTTCCTTGACCCCATAAAAGAATGGGGATATTGGGGAGCTACGGGAACAGGTCCCCCTCCAAATGCTCAGGGCTGCCTAGGCCTCCCCAGAACCCTGGTCCTGTGAAGGGCAGGGGCAGCAGAGCCTGCTCACTGCTCACGTCAGCCCAGGGTTGCTGGAGCCCGTCCGGAGCCCTCAGTGCCTACCCAGGGCCAGAGGGACCACCTGGGGGGCCGGCCTCAGCTGGACTCACAGCCACTCCCTGCCTGGGAGGCATCCAGCCTCAGGAGGAGGAGTGCGGGTACCCAGAGTGGCTGTGGTCAGCCTCGCCCAGGGTCACTGTCAGTGACAGGCTGGGCTTCCTTTCCAGCTCCTCCTCCTTCGGGAAGTGCTGTGGGGGTCGGGCTTTGAAGAAGTCTGAGATGTAGCGGACCTGGCAGAGTGGAGGAAGGTGAGACTGGGCAGGGGCTGGGCAGGCACCAGGGACATGGGCAAGGGCAGGAGGGGGAGGAACAGGGTACCAGGTGGGCAATGAGAGAAAGAGTGCCTGTGGGGGGAAGAGAGCCCTCTTGGTGGACGACCAGTGGAGAGCACTGGGGCGCTGACAGGCCCAGGGAAGGGCTGCGGTGTGCAGGTAGGAGACCCAGGGAAGGAACTGGGGGAAGAAAGTGTCCAGGGAAGGACTGGGTTTGGGGAGAGGGGTCCCAGGGGAGAAACGGGGTAAAGGGAGGGGCCCCCAGAAAGGATTGGGGTTGAGGGAAGGGGTCCCGGGGAGGAATGGGGGAAGGAGGGGTTCCATGAATGGACTGGGGTTGGGGAAAAGGGTCCCAGGGGAGAAATGGGGAGAAGGGAGGGGTCCAGGGAAGAACTGGGGTTGGGGGAAGGGGTCCCAGGGGAGGATGTGGGGGTGGGGAAGTGTCCTGGGATGGACTGGGGTTGGGGGATCCCAGAATAGAAATGAGGGGAAAAAGGGGTCCCAGGGAAGGATGGGGGTTGGGGAGAAGCGGTCTCAGGGGAGAATTGGGGGTAAGAGGGGTCCCAGGTATGGACTAGGGTTTGGAGAAAGGGTCCCAGGGAAGAATGTGGGGAAGGAGGCATTTAGAAAGGACTGGGGTTGGGGGAAGAGGTCCCAGGGGAGACATGGAGAGAAGGGAGGAGTCCAGGGAAGAACTGGGATTAGGGGAAGGAATCCCAGGGAAGGATCTGGGGGTGAAGGAGGGGTTCAGGGAAGAACTGGAGTTTGGGGTACGGGTCCCAGGGGAGAAACCGGGGAAAGGAGGGGTCCCAGGGAAGGGGTCACAGGGGAGGACTCCGTGGGGCAAGAGTGCAGGGAAGGACCAGGGTTGGGCAGGGAGTGGCCTCTGGACAGCACAGGGGGTGAGTCAGGGTCAGAAGCTCACAGTGAGGCCAGCCACAAGCGCCCCCTGCAGGAGACCAGCAAGGACGTCACTCCAGTGCTCAGACACGCGGGTGTAGCCCACATAGAGGGCAAAGGCCACCAGGAAGAACTGGACCGTGGGCCACAGCAGCTGCGTCCACTTCCAGCAGAGCCGCGCCTGCATGTAGCGCTGGGACGGGAGAGGGCACCTCAGCCTGTGTCCTGCCAGGCACTCCCACGCCCACTGCACAGATGGCAGCTCCGAGGCCGAGGGCATAAAACCGGCCGGCCCAGGGCCTCCTGTTTTTTTTACAAACAAGTCAGTGAGCGCCTCCATCACCACCACGACCCACCCATTTTACAGCTGGAAAAGCCGAGGTTCAGGTAAGGGAGTGACTTGACGGGCAAGCCCCGGAAAAACGGACTCACCGCCAGGAACACCACGCAGCACATCCCAAAGGAGGCGTGTCCCGAGTAGAAAGACAACCTGGGGAAGGAGAGGCAGCAGGTTGGCTGATAAATAGATAAACAAAATGTGGTGTGTCTCTACCACAGAATATTATTCATCCATAGAAGAAATCAAATACTGACACATGCTATGACATGAAAGAACTCTGTAAACATTGTGCTAAAGTGAAAAAAATAAGCCAGCCACAAAAGATCACACATTACACAATCCTGTTTATATAAGAGGTCCAGATTAGGCAACTCTATAGTGACAGAATATAGATCAGTGGTTGCCTATGGGAGCATAAGCTTATAGGGGGAGTAGAAGCTAGTTGTAAAGAAATGTGGATTTCTCTGTATGGTAATAAAAGCTTCCAAAATTGATTGGGATAATAGGTGCACAGCTCCATGAATATTCTAAAAACCACCAAATTGCATACTTTAATAAAGAAATTGTATGGTATGTGAAGTGCATTTCAATAAAGGTGTTATTTAAAAATACATACATATATATATATTGGTGGCCAGGCATAGGTGGCTCATACCTGCCTATAATCCCAGCACTTTGGGAGGCAGAGGCAGGAGAAACACTTGATTCCAGTAGTTCAAGACCATCCTAGGCAACATAGCATGACCCCATCTCTACAACAATAGATAAAAAATTTACCACTGTGTGATGGTGTATGTCTGTAGTCCTAGCTACTTAAGAGGCTGAGATGGGAGTACTGCTTGAGCCCAGAAGAATGAAGCTACAGCAAGCCATATCACACCACTGCAGTGCAGCCTGAGTGACAGAGCACGTCCCTGTCTCTGAAAAGAAAAGGAAAGAAATGCAGGTTTTTAAAATTGATTTGCGAGAGTAACCAAGTTTGAGGAGAAACAGAGGAAAAAAGAGTACTGAATGGTGAGAGTAGTGGCTGGTTTGCCTCAGTTGCTAGCTAATTAATTGGCTTCTGAAAAATTTCTTACTAAAATCCCAGCTCTGGGGGTCAGTCATGCAGTCAAATGATAAATCCTAAATCTCTTACAAATGCTCATCATCTTTCTTTACATGCCTTCTAGTGAAAAATTCTTAAGTGTCTAAATATCAAGTGGTCTGAAATGATAGCAGCTGTTTATTAAAGAAATAACATCTCAGCCAGGTGAAGTTGCTCATGCCTGTAATCCCAGCACTTTGGGAGTCCAAGGCGTGCAAATCACCAGAGGGCAGGAGTTTGAGACCAGCCTAGACAACATGGCAAAACCTCATCTCTACTAAAAATACAAAAATTAGCTGGGTTTGATGGTGCATGTCTGTAATCCCAGCTACTTGGGAGGCAGAGGTAGTGAATCTCTTGAACTCGGGACATGGGGCTTGCAGTGAGCCAGCATAGCGCCACTGCACTCCAGCCTGGGCAACAAGAGTGAAACTCCATCTCAGAAAAAAAGAAAAAACAAAAGAAATAACATCTGCATTTTTTTTTGTTTTTCAGATGGAGTCTTGCTCCATCACCCAGGCTGGAGTGCAGTGGTGTGATTTTGACTCATTGCAACCTCCACCTCCCAGGTTCAAGTGATTCTTCTGCCTCAGTCTCCTGAGTAGCTGGGATTACAGGCATGTGCCACCATGCCCAGCTAATTTTTTATTTTAGGTAGAGACGGGGTTTTGCCCTGTTGGTCAGGAGGATGTAGATCTCTTAACTTCATGATCCACCCTCCTCAGCCTCCCAAAGTGCTGGAATTATAAGCATGAGATTTTAATTATAAGCACTGCACCCAGCATTTAACATCTCGATTTTTGAAAACCATGAGTCAAATATTATTTTCCTTTTCTCATTTTACAGGTGTGCAACCTAAAGGACAGAGAACTCAAATAATTTTCCTAAGTGGCAGAATACAGATTTAAATTCTATCGCTTTAGTCTCAGAGTTTGTGCTTTATTTTATTATGATAAATTCATCTTTTTTAAAACCAAGAGACTTATGTAAAATTCTGCTAGATTAAAAAAAAAAAAAAGCCTCTTCCTTTTCTTGATCATGGCTGCAGGCAGGGCTCACACTGCATTTTCTTTACTTATATATGTCCTGCTTGGATGGAGACATGACAGGGAGCTCCTCTCAGGTCTCTCTCTTATGAGCAGACCCCATAAGCATGGAGAGAAGGAAATACATTAGACGGTGTTGTAGGAAATGCTTTCATTCCAGGCACTGCTGTTTAAACTATCCCTAAACTTTCTTTCCTTAAAAGAACAGAAAAAACAAAGAGGGCAAAAGATGAAGAAACATTCCATGTGACCCTCTGCATCCTTATTTGTTGTAATAAAGAAAAAGCATTTTAGGGATTTTTTTGAGTGCAGTTTGTAAGGTGATTCATGTTATTTATTTCCTGTTAATGATTTCCAAAATGTCAATTTAAAACATCCAGTAATTTAGCTTTATCACCAGGCAGCTGTGCACATGTGAAATTAGCTTGGTTAACTTCATCTGTATAAACATGTAGCTAGTGAACTGACATAACGAATAAACTGGAGAATCAACAGAAACATGCCAAAGACTGGCCCTTATTTTCCATGGCGATCTCAATTTCAGGAATCTTTACATTACTCTCAGGGCTTCATGGTCTTTTAGGGGACGGCAAAGCTGTAAACTAAGCACAGAATTACTTTAGTATATTGTAGAAAAATACAGAAGAAGATGCTTTATAAGAGCAGAATATAAAACTCATACCATTTGGAGATTTTCAAAGAAACCTGCAGCATTAAACTTGTAGTGTAATCCTCCACAAGGGGCTCAACAAAGCCTTGGAAATATAAATGAAGTGGAATTGCACGTGACACTTTCAGTAAATTAAAAGAAAAAGAAAGAAAAAGAAAAAAAGGTCCATTAGATAAAATACTTTAAAAAACCAAGAAACTAACTGCAAGTCCCACAAAGACATTGGGCAATGATTCTATATGATTTCAGGCATGCTGATAAAGAATGTCTTAATGTAGTAAAATATAATAAGAAGTACATGTAATCTCTTACCTTTAGTGTTTATTTTACTAGCCATTCCAGGAGGGAAGTAGCAAATAACTAGTTCAGGTCTAGAAAGAAAACCAAGAAATGTTACAGTAACCAGTATAATGGCGGTCTCACAGCTAGGAAAATGGTCAAGATATGACTAGGGATTTTTCCTAAAGGCATTCACAGAGTCATCCTGTAATGTAACAATAATTCCTATCATTGTGGACAAAAACTTGGACTTTTCCTTCCCATGACTGGCAAGTAATTATATAAAAAGTAAATTACTTCTTTCATAAAGAAAAAAGAAATTAACACTAGTGTACATTCTTTAGTCACTAAAATTCTGCAGAAACCCAGATATAATAAGAAACTCGATTATCCGACCAGGTGTGGTGGCTCACACCTATAATCCCAGCACTTTGGGAGGCCAAGGTGGGTGGGTCACATGTTCGAGACCAGCCTGACCAACTTGATGAAACCCGGTATCTACTAAAAATACATAAATTAGCCAGATGTGGTGGTGCACGCCTGTGATCCCAGCTACTTGGGAGGCTGAGGCAGGAGAATTACTTGAACCTGAAAAACCAAGGTTGCAGTGAGCTGAGATTGCACCACTACACTTCAGACTAAGCAATAGAGCAAAACTCTCTCTGTCTCTCTCTCTCTCCATACACACACACACACACATATCTCACCTCTCTACCTATGATCAACGTTCCTTCTAAACTCAATTGAAGGCACCATATATCACAAGCCAGATGGCAAGAAATTAAATAAATTTCAGTCTTTTTATGCCATTCCAATTACATCTTGGTCAGTTTACAAACATGCTTCAGCAAATGTTGGAGGAGTTTTTCTCCCTCTTTAGGAGTCCTCTCTCAGTTTATGCTGCCTAACAAAAGACCCCCACACTTAGAAAGAGGATGGAGACAGGCCAGCTTCAGGACATGCTGCACAAGGAGAACCAACTGTCCCAAAAAGAGAGGGTTCTACACCACCCTGAAAACTTCTCAATTGACCAGCTACACACAAATGCCTGAAGTATGGAAGTCCGTCAAGAAAATGAACAATTGGTGACATCAAGACTTCTGACCCAAGGGCCTGCAGCTGGTGTGACCATTCATCAAAAAAATCTGACTTTAAATGGAGACACATTGGATTGTGACATGCAATAAAAGAACTGAAGCAGCAAATTGTCTTGATTTGGGTTTCCTTTCCATCTTACCCAGCTCCAGCCAGTGAAGAAGTGAGCATGCCTGTGGTGCTCCTGACACATCTGGGGTAGTTCCCATTCACAGTGGTCAACCTTTGGGATTTTCCCACACATTGTAGGGTCATCATTCATCTATGCTAACCTATAATGGGCAGATAAATGCTCCCTTTTAGAGGCTGGTGAGAAAATTGTCAAATCTGAAAGCCCACAAACTGTCTCAGCCAGGGGGGAACACATGTAGGAAAGACTATGGAATCTGATATCAGAAGCCTAATCTCAGGTAGAACTCTACAGATTTACAGTTGTGAGTAATTAACTTACTTTCTCTAGGCTCTGTTATTCTCATATAAATCACAAGAAAGGTAGACTGAATAGTCTCCCAGATCAATTCCAATCTTAACATCTTCTGGCTTTATGATTAAAGAATGATACTAGTATGGCTGAAACTGTGGCTTAACCCCAATAGGAGCCTGCTGGGATCATGCTAGGCAAAACTAGTCCACACAGACAGAGCCATTCTGACCACATCCCTCCCTATGCCAGCTATCATACAGATATGCACCACTGGTATGAGAAGTCCCTTCTACATAAGACATTGACTGATTCAGTAATAGGCTGATTTATTCATTCAACCAACAAGTATTTACTGAGCACCTTCTAGGTATTTAGGGTTACAACAGAACAAAACAGATAAAATCCCTTCCCTTATGGAGTTTACATTTTAGTGAAGGATGAGGAGGAGCCAGACATCAAATAGGAAATATAAATTAAGGATATATTTTATGTAGAGCAGTGTTGGGATTCACTCAGGGTGGCTCCCAGAATATTAAGGGAAGTATTAGGGAAGTTATAGATTATAGTATCGAACCTTTTCGGGAAGCCAAAATGTTTTAGTGAGCCAGGTTGAATACAGCCAGTCCTTACCTTAGAGCTTTAAGTCACAAGGTGACTTAAACATAAGATAATAAAAGCTTCCCCAGTTAAATCTGTTTACCTCACATTCCTTTGTCTCTACTCTGTTTACTCATATAAACTTTGTGCTAGATGGCCCTCTTGGGAGAGGTTGAAAAAGAATTACTACTTAATGGTGTTTATTCTGGGCCTCAGAACCAAAGGTTTTTATGATTCATAAATCCACTCTTTTTTCTATGTTAATTATTTACAAGCCTGTTGACTTAAAACCTGTTATTAAATCTATACTGAATAAATGTAAGAAGGAACAGAGAGTTGTAGTCAATTAGCTGCAATCACCCTCTAAAAGCAGCTGAGGACCCCTTAGCCCAACTCTTGCACTGTATTCTGTAGGTAAGAGAGTATTTCATTCATCCGTTGCTAAGACAAGGTCTGCAGGACAGACCTCCGCAGGTAGTGATCAAAGTCTCAGAGCAGCCCGGAGGCCCTTGATAAAGTGACCTTTGAACCACAATCCAAAGCAGTGAGAGAGTGAGCCATGCAGCCAGTAGGGGAAGAATGTTCCAGGCAGAGGAAACAGCAAGGCCCAGAGACAGGACAGGATCAAGCCTGCCTAGCGTGCCAAAGGAAACAACATGAGCTCAGTGTTTATAAAGAGGAGTAAGAGCAGGAGAGTAGCAGGAAGAACAGTGAGACAGGTGGCAGGGGCCAGGTCATGTACAAAAAAAAGCCACTAGAGAATTTGAACAGAGAGGTAATTATGATCTTAATTCCACTGTGAACGGATTGTACTAGCTGTTGTATTGAGAGTAGAGTGACCAGGCACGGTGGCTCACTCCTGTAATCCCAACACTTTGGGAGGCCAAGGCAGGTGGATCACTTGAGGACAAGAGGTCAAGACCAGCCTGGCCAACATGATGAAACCCTGTCTCTACTAAAAACTCAAAAAATTAGCCTGGCATGATGGCTCATGCCTGTAATCCCAGCTACTAGGAAGGCTGAGGCAGGAGAGTTGCTGGAACTCAGGAGGCAGAAGTTAAAGTGAGCCTGGATCATGGCATTGCACTCCAGCCTTGGTGACAAAGCAAGACTCTGTCTGAAAAAAAGAGAGTAGACTGAAGAAGGCAAACATGGAAACAAAAAAAGCCAGTTAGAAGACTACGGAGATAATCCAGGTAAGAGATGATGGCAGAGTGGCAGCAGTAAGGTGTGAAGAGAGACCGATTCTGAAGTTGAATCAACAGGACACTTGAAGACAGGATCATCTTGGAAAATCTTGGAACTACTGAGGAATCAAATGAAGCTAAATGGCACTAAATTCTAACATCCACTGTGAAATCCTGCGAACAGGGTTTGTTCACCTCTGTTACCTAGTGTCCCACTCAGTGCTTGGCACATAATAGGGATATAAAAAGTCTTCAATTCTTAAATGAATAAACGTGGAACTGAATATATTCCAAAGCCAAAAGACCTGCAGTTTGATAGGTCATTAGGAGATCAAAACGCATCTGACACTAGACATATTTTACTAACAGTGGGTTCACCTCCTCTGAGTGAATCAGCTTCTAAGCAGTGAGCTGAGATCATGCTAGTGCATGGGCAACAAGAGAGAAACTCCAG